TTTTACATTTTATCTAAGTTTCTCTATATTTTTTTTATCAATATTAAGACTAATAAAATAATAATCGAAGCCATGTAAATTCTGTAAAATAATTAAAATTATGTTAAATTATTACGTATAAAATGAATTTATATATTGCTTTTGAACTAATTATAATTTTAATTGCTGTCTCTTAATTCAAGACAGGATTAGAGTAAACTTGATTACAATATATTAATATGACAATTAGATTTCCAGAACAGGTTCGCCAGATCTTTAATCATTAAAATAAATATTACGATCATTTAGTATAGTTTTGATTTTATAAAACCATAAAAAGTACAAATTAAATCGTCGGATATGTATTCGGAATTAAATAAAATACATGATGTGCACACATATATTTCAATCAAAAAATTTGTCCAATTTATATACAGATAGACAATAAATCATGCATTGATAGCGTTCTATTATAACAGTTGAATAATAATCATGTTTCTTAAAGCCGAGGTACACATTTTAAATTTAACACTAGAGCGGCATAATAAACTGTAATGTCAAACGAGTGTAAAAATCAACGTATATCATATTACATTCCTCATTTTTGTATTTATCATAATGCAAGATATTAAGGTATTTTGATTTTTACATTCATTTGACATTAAACTACATACATTTATATTTATCGTATTTTAAGCAATTATAAAATATATCGGAAAAATATCTATTGTTAACTACAATAGGTAAGAAAACAATTGATAACTAAAAAGATCTCTGCATCTTATAAAATATTGTTTGCACTAATATTTTATAACACATACTTCTTTTTATTTAGCATATCCAAAGATATAAAATTTTCAATCAAAACAAAAGTATATATGTGTATTATATTTATTTTTAAATTTAAATGGACAAAATATAGGTAACATTAGTTTTTCTCTATTTCCTTGATTGGTATTACAACTCGTGATTATAAATAGAAAATTTAAATACAAAAAATATGAAAATGTTTTAGTATACATGTTGTAATGAGAATACTTCACTTTTAAAATATATTATACCAAAAATAACAATACCAATCGTAACTAATGAAGTATTAAGATTTTTTGGTTAGATAGGCCTCACAATAAAATTGATTTATATGGTTTATATATTCGTCATTTCATACATTGATACATACATATACATGGTGTCGCCTTAGGTAGTCAAGTGTAAATCATTGACAAATTACTTCGATTCGATTCATATATACCAATAATGATCCATTATTAAATTAAACAAAATTGAAAGATTAGTGCACAATACATACAATATACAATGTGAACAAATACAAAACATTAAATAGAATTGCCTATCCTCTCCCGCTTTATCAGTATCCAATAATATGTAATGGATATTTTCTTTGAATTTTCGATATATTGTAATCAAAATGAAATTACATGAAATGCAAATAAATAAAGATCTAATGTAGTACTAGTAAAATTATTTATATATTCTAGAAGTTTCAACTATTTTATAAATATAATTAAAAAAAAAAGCATTACTATGTTGCTATAGAGGAATTAAATATACAAAGCATGTAGC